ATCTGAGCCAAAAGCACGATAACATCGAGCAGGTACAGCACGCTTAAGAACAGGATTAAAAAGAACAATATCACATAAAATAGGCATATGGTCAGAGAACACCGCATCCTCGACAAGTACGTTTTGGACAGATAAACCATGTGATAAAACCAAGTCCAGTGTGTGACCACGTTCTTGAGTGGCACCTTTAACAGACTGAATAAAGTTAAAAGAGTTCACTAAGTCCAGAAAGTCCTTAGCCAGGGGCTTCCCCGGGCAGCAGACGTGTATATTAAAATCACCAAGTAAAAGGATCTGGTCATACCGTGATGCACAGTCAGCAAGAAACTCTGAGAACTCGGATAAAAACTCCTTGTTATATTTTGGGGGCCGATAAACAATCGCACACAACAGCGAAGACGAATGGCCCAGTTCACACAAACAGAGTTCAAAACTGGTGTGGCGTGTTGATGGGGATAGCTGCTTAAAGTCAAGATGTGCCTTAAAAACAACAGCTAGCCCTCCTCCGCGACCAGAAACTCTCGGAACACTAAAAAAGGCACAGCCAGCCGGCAGTAATTCAGAAAAGGCACTTAACTCACCGGGTGGAATCCAAGTTTCAGTCAAGCAAAGAAAATCCAGTGCATGGGAAGCGAAAAATTCCTTCAAAATGAATGTCTTATTTGCCACCGATCTGGCGTTAATTAATCCCAACCTGAGAGGAATTGGCTCGGGAGCTTCCGAGGCAGCAACAACCAGATCCACAGGTCGGAGGTTTGTTTGGTCCACTCCACGCCAACGCAGATGTCGGAGAGGAGAGGGTTTTGCAGAACCCTTCTCGAGAGATCCCACAACAGGAACCAAGCAGGAGTCCACCGGGTCCAAAGCACGCAACGGCACCAAGAGTAGCGGGCAGGATCGACAAATTGAGCGAAGCTCATGAGGAAAACAAGAGATCCTGAGTCTCAGTTTGACAAGGCGACCTCCACGGTTACCTCGTCTCCTGCGTCGCTTCCGCACATCCAGTGGCAATGGTAAGGAGCACCAGTGAGGTGGTGTTACTTCCAAATCGGGAGGCAGAAAGCCTTGGTTGTCATTTCCAAACCGAGCTAAAGCTTGGGTAGATGAGCCTATTTCCAATAATGTCTGGCGATCATAAAACAATGCAGGGCTGACATGTTGCACAAAATTGACTAAAAACAATAAAATAAAACAAATAGAAGAGAGCGATAGACGGCATGCCAAACACACAGGCGCCATCTTTCCATCCATTTCTCCATTTTTTCCCGTTCATGGTCGCATGGGGGCTCGGGCTGGAGAGACAGACAACCACTTACACTCACATTCAGACATATGGTCAATTTAGCAGAGATTCAGATCATTGGTTCACCTGACATGCATGTCTTTGGACTGTGGGAGGAAGCTTACACAGCCACAGGGAGAACATGCAAACTACGCACTGAGAGGCCAGTTAAAACCCAGAACCTTGTTACTGTGCCAAAGGTGCTAACCACTGGACTAGGTCACCTACTAACTGGAAGGTTGGCAGTTCGATTCCAGTTTGCATGCCAAATATCCTTGGGTAAGACACTAACCCCATGTTGCTCTCCGATGCATCTATTAGACTGTGAATGTTAGATAGAAAGTGTTTAGAAGAAGTTGTGTAAAGTGCTCAGATTGAGTAGAAAAGCGATATTTAAGAACCAGTCCATTTACTAAAAAATATAAAAAATAGTCCCATGAAAATCTCTATATCGTTGTTGTTTTATGTGTTCAAACTTTTCTTAAATGTTCTGATTTTTCTTCGGCCTTCACCACATTTAACCTCCATGTTTTAATCAGCAGACTTTTAAAAACAGTTTGACATGAACAAAAATCTTTTGGGCTGGATTCCTGACTTTGCCCCTGGACTGGCGTCACACTGGGTTGCGTGCTTTCACTCCTACCCTTTGTGTCCTGTATCAGAGTGGGTGTGGAAGCAGGACCATTTAAAAGTATGCAGATGACTCTGTTAATGTTAGACTTTACCTGACCACGCATATCCTTTGCATTATGAGCTTCAGTTTCTTCTGGATAAACACAGTAAAACCAGCTTTGTTCCTGTGACCATCACTCAGATGAACAAATGATAGTTTTTGATATCCTACATAAAGCAGTGATTTTGGATTTATCTTCTAATTATATTTTATTCTTTATATTTGTCGTCTGTGTTTGTTTTGAAAATGTGCATGTGTGGATGGATGACTCACCTGCTGCAGACGAAATCTGCCTACGAGTACAAAGTAATATGACCCTGGCTGAATATGCAGATAAGGCGTCATCTGTCTAATTCCTCTCTTTTTATCATTTAGAAAATGTTGTCCAAAAAAATCTGCTCTTGCAACATTTTTAGGAATAGAAAGTTCTATAAATCAGAACATAGATGGGACTAAAACGTCAACTCTGAGTCTGAGGAAAACTACTTTTTAAGAAAACGTGACCTTTAAATATGTGGAGTGAAAAATTCTGCATATTTCTTCTGGGGTAAAAAAATATCATGTGTGTGTAGCAGCTATGATTTCCTAGAAAAAGAGAACTAAGCAGTGCGTATACATATTTGAGCTAAATAAAAAGTCTGGATTTCCAATTACTAATTGAATTTGCACATCAGTAGTTCGGCTTTAACCAGACTAAAAAGCTTTCTGCTGGTCTCAAAATGTTTCTTTCTTTCATTGACGCATTCCTTCTGCATCTGTGTGTCCTCATCTTTTATGTCTCTTCTCACTTGCAGCCTAGCACTTTAAAGCACCCAACCCGCCTTTAAAAATTTCCATTTGAATGATTTTGGTGTGAGAGAAATTGCTACACTTGATTTATTGCTGTCACTTCATTTTATACTTAGAAATTCGTCCCTCGTGGTCTTCTGTTCATCCTTATATCTGTGGAACAAGCTCCAGGAGACATTACTAAATACACAAAACAGGGAGAATGCAGTGTTGACTGCAGCTTTGTGGAGGAGCCGCAGAGTCTAACATTTTAGGCTGTGAGTGTTTGTGCTTGTCTCTACACTCCTCCTCTTCAGCTGTGACATTTGTCATACATGGTGTACATTTTGAATTAACAGCGCACAATTATGCCTCATGCGGTTTAGTCACTTTTATCAAGTACTGCAGTCCCTCGGTCTGGCTTCATTTTCTTAGTGTGCCACAAAGGTTACATCATGCAGGATCTGCTGATCACAGAATGATCTGTTACCGGTTTTGGCAACAAGGCGTTGGACTTCTGAGGCTTCCACCTCTGAACGCTGCCTGATACATAGAGCACCAGAGCGAGGGTTACCCCAGTGACTCATTGTAGCTGAGCCAGTAGATGCTTACTGGCAAAAGCCTCCCCAAGGCCAGTGTGGGGCCTGGTAACCCTGTCCTGGGTGAGGTATCATGGACGATTTTTCTCCTCATCATAGCTCTGAATCTAAGATGGGTGAGGCGTTCAGTCATTTGGAACAGGGTTAGGTTACAGAAGGCAAGGCAAGGCAAGGCAAGGCAAATTTATTTGTATAGCACAATTCAACAACAAGGTGATTCAAAGTGCTTTACAGAGACATTAGAAACAAAAACAAATAAAAAGCATGATTTAAAATTGATTAAAACAAGCAAACAAACAAACTAACTAAACACACACATTTCACACCTGTTCGCGCGATCTGAACCCTTATCGTAAGGGGAGCTACCAGTCCTTCTGTGGCCGAGCTACTTTCTATTTTAAATTCCCTGAATTTAAAATACTCTCTAGACCCAGTCTAGACCCAGTTGGGGAGCTACCCAGAGCTCTAAACCCACTTAACAAACAAACAAACAAACAAACAAACAAACAAACAAACAAACAAACAAACAAACAAACAAACAAACAAACAAACAAACAAACAAACAAACAAAACAGTATATAAAATCAAAACAGATAAAATCAGAACAGTAGATAAAATCAGTTTTGAAATTTAAGCTTAACAAACAAACAAAACAGTATATAAAATCAAAACAGATAAAATCAGAACAGTAGATAAAATCAGTTTTGAAATTTAAGCTTAACAAACAAACAAAACAGTATATAAAATCAAAACAGATAAAATCAGAAATAGATAAGATCAGTAGTTAGTGTAAGTTTTGAAATTTAAGCTTAAAAGTGTGGATTTGGTGCTTTATTCAAATGCAGCTGAGTCAGTCATTTGGAACAGGGTTAGGTTACAGAAGCTACTCCTCTACATCAAAAAGAGCCGTTTTAGGTATGCGTCTGATCAACATGCCTCCTGTGTGAGGTGTTTTGTGCATATCCAACTAGAAGGAGGCCCAAGAGCAGACGCACGGGAGAGATTATGCCTCTTAGCTGGCTTGGGAATGCCTCTGTGTCCCCCTAGGAGGTGGCTGGGGAGCAGGAGGTTGGGCATCTCTGCTCAGACTGCCCACACTTTTCCCTGCTGACCCAGATAAATGGCAGAAAATGGATTGGTAGGATCTTTTTCAAGATAATTCATCAGTTTTTAACTCATGTAAATGTATTGTCAGTGGATGCTGGGATACAGTAAATTGTAAATTCCTTAGTTGAACCATAGTCCTAATCCAGTAGTGAAATTGTTTTTGTGCAAACAAACAGTCACCGAGTCAAACGCTGTGATTTATGTTGCACATATAGTTACAACACCTCGCTCTGAACATTCATCTGAAATGTCAAACAGTCAAGTAAACTCAGACTTCAGGGGAAATCTGTTTAACAGATGGCAGCTATTGTGTTCATTTTGTTGTTTTTCAGAAAGCATTTGAAATATTTTGTGCATGTGGATTCGGTGTTCCCACCATTATAAATACTAGAGGGAAAATTGTATTATGTTATGTATTTCTTTTATTTTGGACACAATAACAAAGCAAAAGTAAATATAATGATAAAAACAATATACCGGAAAAAAATAAGCAGTTTAAACTCTACATGCAAAAATGAAGTTTATCCAAATGTTATGTTTTGTTACTGACGTGGTTTTATTTACTTGCCAGGCTGAGGAAGGAGCTGGAGATACACAAAGAAGGACAACTTGAGCATCTGCGAGAGGAACTAAGCTCAGAAATTCAAGTTGGTGGCTTTTATTTAAATTATTCCATTTATTTTTTTCCCTTTTTTTAGCATGACAGTCATACACAGATGCTGTCAAATTTGTTTAGATGTTTTGAAAGGTAGTTGTGGGCAAACTTCCAAATGTAACACATGAGCTAAAATGCATATCTTTATTCATTTGCAAAACATTTGTCATTGTCACATTTGTTCTTTGTAAACCTATTTTTTTTCCTTTCTTTTTTAATTGCAGAAGCTGGACAGCAGCCAAGGGGCTGAGAAGTGTTAGGTTAGGCACGCTGATAATTTGCAAAGTTTATCTTGTTTGTCTTATGTTCAAAAACAAAGATGCTGATTTACAGACGGTTAGTTTCTGCTTCCCTGCTGTCTTTATTCTTCTTTATCTCCTAAGAGTCTTAACTAAGCCCTGGATAATATTTGTTTTTCTATGTGTGGATTGAATATTTTCTTTCTGTTGGTCTTTACACTTTTGTGCCCATTTCTGAGAAAAAAAAAAACAAGTTTATTAAAATGTATGAATCCTTTTTTCCATGTGTCTAATCCTTGCTTATAACACCAACAAGTTATATAAAAAAATATGATTCTTATTAATGTAACTACTCACAAACACGTGCAAAAAAGGTATTCAAAGTTTTGTCCCAAAAGTGATTTTATATTGCCCTCTAGTGTATAGAATATGGTAATGCTACATTCCAGTCCAATCAGATCATGCCTACTGAAACAGCGGTGAACAGACATTGCATGATTGTTGCATGCATTTTATTTTATTTTTATTATTTATAACATTCATCATATCCTGTTCCCTGGATACCTACCTATCTAATGCTGCCTTTTTCAGCTTAAGTATGCTCTTTACCACCAGACTGAAACAAATACATTTTTTGATTAAAAAAAAATGGCTGCAGTTTTCTCCCAGTTAGCTATAGGATTGTTAGAGAGGACAGCCACTCATCACTGGTCCAACAGTAAAGTCACAATCATAATAAGGGTTCATAGACGAGGTCTGTTCAACACAAAGATTAGATAAGCTGAGGGTTAGGGCTTTGAGCAAGGTTGCCATGCTCTTCCATTTCTAGCTGGGTAATTAAACTTACTGATCAATAATAAATTTGGAGTACATGGGTAAATAAAAGTTTTACTGAGTGAGTTACCAGCCAGAAAACACAGAAGCTTAAGATGCAATATTTAGGCTTTTGCCACCCAATGGAAGCTCTGTGCAATTACAATTTACCACCATTAATCATTCAGTCCACAGACAGTTATTTCCTTAATTGATAATTAGATGGTCTGCCAGCTTACACCAGAGGGTCGTGCTGTGGGGCATTTTCTCTCTGATTAAAGTGACTCCTACTAGAATGATGTGGAATGTCAATGGCTACCTAATGAGATCCTGCAATCTCATTTTGACTTTTTAACCTCGACCCCGGTGAGCTACATCTGGATGCGTCTGCAAAAACTGAGAGCAGACAGAACAGCAGACAAAGCAGTCCATTTGACAGGGTGGTTAACCTCATTTTAATGGCTGCTCTCATCAATATATGGCTGTCAAGCACATGAATATTGAGTGTCTGTTAGTCAAATGAAGTCAGATGGAAGAACAGTGAAGATGGTGGTAAGACATCTGCTTTTGTTAATGTAAATGGAAGAGATGCAGCCATTTATTTATTGATATTTAAGCGGCTGCATTGACACAGATGCATTTGCATTGTTTAGGTTCACCTCATTTTCCACCAAAGATGAAGACCTAGATGAATTCCAGAGGGTGGTTGAAAAGCTTGTCTTGAATATAGTTCCAGTTGCAGAGGTAATAACCAATATACTCTGCTGTGTACACCAGTTTTTCTTTTAACTTTAAAAATCTAAGTTTAAATTACTTATTATAGGAGTAGTCAAAAGATAAATTATTAATGTCAAAAAGGGGCAGAGGATGGCAAACTCTTTTGGCATGTTTGCATCAGCGACGTGTTTTTTGCAGTGCCACCTGTAAAGGGATGTGACATAAGGTAGCATTTGAACTATGATATCTCGGTATCACTAGAGTAACATAGGAAATCTTGTCTTGTCAAATGTATAGTACCTACATTACCAAAAGGTGTCCCTGTAAGGACGTATTTTGAGCCAGAGAAGGGAAGAATAGTCGATTAGAGTTCAATGATGCTGTAATCTCAATACGTGCAGCTTTTGGGTGCTTGTTTAGCTCAGTGTGTCGAGCAGGCCACCACATGCCATACAGCTGAGAGCGGCCGGCCCGGGTTTGAGTCCATCCCATTCGCCGCATGTCTTTCCCTCTTGCTCTGTTTTAGAAAAGGCTAAAATAACAGCATCTTTTACACATATAGTTAAAAACCTTAATACTGGTTGTGAGAGAAATATGTGAGACTTTGCAACTGCTTTGCCTACTCTGTCTTTTATTAGTTTACTACCTAAAATTCCATAAGCACCTTTAACAGCTGCACAATAATATTTACATACTAATCACAGAGCGCGACAAATGTGAAAATAGAGTTTCAACGTGCGTTGTATGCCCTTACAATATATTTCGACATCCAATGAAGAACAGTTTGGAGACAAACACACTCCGAACTTTAAAGAGTGTATAGTTAAGACTGGCTCATGTGACCCGAACCCTCCTTTAGTTACACGGCAATGGGCCTAGGCTGTTGGGAGCTTCCCATGATGCACTTCTTTACTCATCTCTTTTCACATTCTGTTTTTAATCATTCGTTATCATTAATCTGTCTTTTTTTTTACACAGTATGTTTTTTGTCCTGTCTTTCTGCCTTCACCCTCAGCCGTTTGTGGCAGCTGGCTGCCTCTCCCTCAGCCTGATTCTGCCAGAGGTTTCGTCCTACTGTCACCAAGTGCTTGCATGCAGGGGGTCTTCACTTTGTTCAGGTTTTCTCAGTGGTATTGCAGCATCTTGGCAGAATAAAGCACCTTGAGGTGACTGATGTTGAAATTTGGCCCATATCAATAAAACTATATTAAAACGAACTGTTCCTTTGATCTGACAGCATGAGGGGCCAGTATAATATTAGTATTAAACTGTTTCATTATGATACATGATACACCGCCAGTGTGTAAACTTTAATCTGGATTTTGTCCTAATAACAGGTGAAAAATATTGAGATATTTTCAGGCTTTAAGTGCACACGGGTTATGAAAAATAACTGCTACAGTGGTGAGCCACTGTGAAAATGCAGGGTCTGTAGAGTGTGAAACTATGCAAACATATATTTATGTCCATATGCACAAATGCCAGAAAAAAAACACTCCATGTTCAAGTATTTATTAAAATGTTTTTACTGCAGCAGGAGGTCCTTTTATACCCATTTTCATGACACGGTTCTCTGTCATGTTTAACCGCATACAAGACAGGCATACTTCAGCTCTCCTTGTATGCCTTTACCCTTCAGCTCAGCAGTAAAATCTTCACGGATGCGATTCTGCATTTGACTGCTGCTCTTGGTTGTTATGCAGTCCTGATCTTTTGGAAAATATGCAGTTGTTGCTCCTGAGACTTGAATAGATGCTTCTAGAAAGCAAGAGCAAGACATAAGTTCAACCTCATATCTTAAAATTTACATACAGTTTCTGGTATTTAAACTCTCTGTTTAGGGCCACTAAGATTACACTTATTAAAATGCAATGAAAAAGAACTTTGCAGAGAAAATTGCAAGCACATTTGGATATGACTGAGTCGTTGGGAGCGACTCCCTGCTTTGACCTCAGCTGCAGATTCATAGTAATAAGAGATGAATAAACTGCTGCCTTACCGATGCACTCAGCCAGCTTGTTTCCTCCTACGTACTGGCTCTGCCACTGATATCCTGTTTGCCCACTACATTCATCAAAAACACGTCTTTTTCTCAGAAAACCAAAATCATAACCCTGTGAAAAAAGACTCGTATTACTCATCCCACTTTCCACTATATGAATCATGAAAAACTGAAAAATATATGACAGATGCTGGTACATGCATGTACCACTTACATAGTTGCACATGGGTTTGCAGTAACGTTTGTTGGCAACAGTGGCACATGCTAGCCCCCCGTTTTTTGGCACTTCAGCTTCCTTGCATTGTGTTGGCTCAGATCCTTGGCATTCTGTAAATCAATGAATCGTGAACATTTATATATTAGATGTCTATTTCTTCTGTCTTTCCTGTTTCTTTAGTTCTGCATTATACCAGAGCTTCTGTTCAAAAACAGGGAAAGTAACCTTATTTTAAATGTAAATGTTATTTTCAGAGGGATTGTGTTCCTCAGTAAAGTTAAGGGTGACATGAAAAGCCACTTGGCAGTTACTACTTTCAAGGGTCCTTCTGTGCATAGTAGACTACAGTTCATCTTAATAAAGCTTCAGTTCCAAACCAACCACTCGTGTGCCAGTGATTCCACTTCATCAAGTATTCCTCAAGGAATGTGCTCATTTTCTTGTACTCTAAAGCACTTCTGAAACCAGTTGTTTCCAAACCTTTTTTGCTAGGCCCCCTTTGTTTTACATGAACATCTTTGCGCGCTCCTCCAGCCACATACACCTATATTTTGTTTTCAAACTCCATTGTAGTTTATTTCACACCTCAAACCTTTTGTAAACAATTAATCAAATAAAAATGAACAGCAATAAATTAAAGGTAGCAATAAAATAAACTACTAACTCTTTTATGCTACGTCCACACCTACACAGGCAATTTAAAAAATGCAGCTTTTTATATGCTTCTGGGCCTTTTGTCCACATGTAAAAACGGCATTTTGGGTCACTGAAAATGGAGATTTTTAAAAACTGCTCCCAGGGTGAAGTTTTCAAAAAGTTGGTTTTTGCTTTTAAGTGTGAATGAGGAAAACAGAGATTTAGTCACACAACGTCAAAGGTGTGCACCTTTTTTGACGTCACTAACCTTCCGATCAGTAGATGACGTGCTCTCCTCCTGCACTACAGCCACGAGGTGGAGTAGTGAAGGTTAGTAATAAAGAACTATAGCAGCTAGGACGGGCTATGAATGGATGGATGGATCTAGCCTTAAACTCAACTACACACCCCAACATAACCAGCCTCTGGATGTGGTTCCCAATTATGTTTCAGACTCAGTAACATGAGGAGGGTCCAGTGGGAGCTCTAATGTGATCCTTACATAAATCCTCATCTGGATAAACATAAATTTCAGTTTGGGGGATCATTTTAATCGCAAACTAAAGTAAATATTAGTCATCTAGTTGTTAATGACATTCTGCTTCTTGTTCGGTGGTACTTTATTAGTGCGTCTTGTTTCTAATGAATATATTCAAGAACTTTCACGCCTCAAAATGGGCTTTTGGGAAGAGACTTGTTTTTTTTTCTTTTTAATGGCCCTTAAATATACAAAAATACATTTTATGCTTGAGTGAATGAAACTCCATTAAAAATGGTTGAAAATTGACATTCAAGTCGTGGCAGTTCTCCTTTGCATGAAGGCCAAAATGCCATTGCTGAGCACCAATATTTATTTTATGCAGAAAAAAATGCATTTATGTATTTGCACTGCCGCTTATGAATCTATTAAACGTTATGATCTTGCTTAGTGCTTCTTTTTTGTTGACAACTGAGTTACAATTATTTTAAGATGGCTAAAATTGGATTACTAAGCTATGAATGTCATGAAACGTCTGTGTGCAGGCAGGATAGGACCCAAACGGGAGTATTAAATACACGGGGAAGGACACAGGGAAATGCATACTGACACAAATGCACAGAAGGATTACTAGGAAATGAGAACACACGGGGAACACAGCTGATACGAATTAACAAGACGCCACAGGGGAACTACACCGAACATGAAAACACAAAGCTTTCAAAATAAAACAGGAAACTGTCGAATATCACAAAGGAGTGGGAGAAAGATAAGAGTGAGGAAGGGAGAGAGACATTACACAAAGGGAGACAATACACCATAACATGACCTGGGGACTGGGAGGACACAACATTCGGGGAAATGAGAAGGTCTAAGGAGATAAACATAGATGGGAAACATGGAATGACACACACAAGGAAGAGAAGATGGGCACAGAAAAGGGAGATAAGGGACAAGGACTGACACACCTAAACACATACAGAAGCGGACACAGACATGACGGGAGCCTAAATGTACAAAGGTTAACATAGAATAAACTCAGGATTACTACTAAGATAATAAACCATAACACCAAAGGTCAAGAAAACACAATATATATTCTTTTTGACACTGGTTCACCCTCATCCCAGTTACAGTTAAACACTAAATAAATAAAAATATACTTTAGTCAACTTTTAAATGTATCTTCCACTAATTTAATGAAAGGGTGAAATACTTTGAGTGGACTCAAGTGGATGCGATGTGCAGTTAAGAAATGGTCGCGTCTAAGACATTTCAGCAAACCTGAGGTTGTGAGATCAGCAGTACTAGTCAATGTTTCTAATCAAACTGCTAACACCGTGATCAATAACTTCTTCATGTATAGCAGCAGGTTGTGTAACTGAAACAGAACCACACATTTCTGGCGTTTTTGACAGAACTGGCTTCTTTTTAAGGTCCAATGCACAAAACTGAGATGAGAACAAATGTGAAATTATAGACTGTAAACATCAGTCGTTAGGTTATATTTACATTCATATCAGCCTTTATTTTTAAACATTGATCATTTTATATTTATGTTGCAACGGTAACTAAAGCCTAACACTTATAGTTGTTCTAACAGAATTGAAGTGAAATGCAGAAACAACACAAACAGTTGCACATGTCGCTGGCTCATCCTCCTACCTTTCAGCTGGTGTTTGTGCAGAGTATCCGTCAGATTCCTCATGTAGAGCTCCAGTGCAGCTGTCTGCTGTGCAGTCCAAGAAGATGGTGGGTTTTCGCCACACTCTACTGCCACCTATTGGTTAATATCAATTTAGTTTATATGGAAAGCAAATGGAGAATATTGTCAAGTTATTTATTTTCCTTTCCTTTCTTTACCGTCACTTAATTTTAAGTAAGTAAATGACGTGAGTTGTATTTATATGCATGTATGTGGAAAGACAAATTAATAACTTGCACTGAGATCAGCTGACAAACGTTCCCAGAGTTCAGCTTGTGAGCTGCAGTTGAGCGGAATAGTTTCATGAGCCACACAGGAGGACAAGACTGCAACCAGGCACACAAACATAAAGAAAACCCCAATGTAATATTCATCTTCTCTTTTACACCTTACATTTTAATCTTCCTTTAGCTGCATATTTGTATTCCTCATGTACACTCTGCCTGTGATCTCACATTAAGATAAACATATGTAAATATGAGTTTACCTGCAAGTGAGCAAAGCCAAGTCAGTGTTGCCTTTAAAGCCATGGCCACTAAATGAGGGTTTTCTGCCCCAGAACTGAGAACTCAAAGCTATGACAGGTGAATTTATTGACTCAGTCTGTCAGGGCAAAGTTTACAGAATTGGTAAATACTGTTGTTTTCAGCTGCGATTGGAGTCAGCATCTGCCAGCATTTCCTTGACTATGACGTAACATGAAAGTGAAAAAGATTAATTATTGAGCACCTTTACAAAAAAAACCAAAAAAACAAAACAAAACAGTGTCACTTATACATACAGTATACAGGAACTCCAGAAATTGTTCTTCTCTTAGTAAGAGAGTTGTTTTCAGTATGCATGTCCCTGCTTTGTGCTGATGGGGGAGCTGGAAGCACACACTTACTGCTCCAATTAGGGCTTTGTGCTGTTCTGCTTCAAACTGGATGTCACTACTACTTCTTAGCTGCGAGACCATTATGGAGCCAAATGTCAGAATGTGATTCAGACACACACCCTCTCACATACATGTGCGCACACCAACCCATCAGACACACTGGGTGACTTGGTGTCAGCCAGTAGTTGTGCCACGAAGGATGACTGTGTAAATAATTCACGGTGGATGTTATTCATTATGGATGTCTGATGATCTGCGAGAAAATGAATTATTGAAGCTTTTAGGAAGAGTGATTGAGCTCATTAACATGGAGGGTTGCCTTCTTTGTTTGATTTGACTAAAAAAAAGAAGAGTTCCTCCCTGTCTTCTTACCGACTTGTCCTCTACATCCTTCTATTCCTTGTCCTTCTTAAGAAAATCCTTATTTTGTGAATGCCGCCTGGAATTCTTTCTATAAAAAAATTTAACAATAATACATTTCTTAAAGTGTGAACCTATGATTTTCTTCATGTTGCAATGGTTTGCACAACAAAGGGCAGTTACTGTCGGGGAAACCTGTGTTGAAGCTTGCTATTTACTTGCATCAGCCTTTGTAGAAGTTTGAACAGAGAGAGCAAAAGAGAGAAAAAAACAACAATCATCTGGTGAATTATGAAACTGCAAGGTCAGACGTACAGTTTTATCCATTTTATAAAAATGTCTGACTGAAAATATAAAAGTATAAAATATAAAGGTCTTCTGGTACAGCAGTAAGAGTAAAGTCATTTTTCATCAGCTTGTTCTGGCATACAGTCCTTCATGTAATTCTACAAATCCCCCAGAAATGAATCATTTTAAGTTATTCAGTAGCATTGAAGCAACAACATAGCCCTTTGATGCTGTGATTAAGCATTTGGTAAAGGACATTTCGAGTACCTATATCTTTTTGAAACATGCACTGGAGTTAACCTAACTCAACCATCTCTACCACTTGCTTTTGGCTTTTTTATTCTCAAAAACTCCACTGAATGATGATCTGCACTTTTCATTTAGCTTCCTTTTCTCATTGCTAACTTCCTCAGCTAAGTATAATTTAAGTATATTGTTTAACATGATATAGTGTCATAGGGTTAACTGAGCAGAATTAACTAGCATGTTAAGACCTTTAGACCAAATGCCTTTTTCATACACACATTTGTAATGTAACGTATATATACGTACCCAAAGGACTGTGATTTAGCAAAAAAATGTTTCCCCAAAAAATACATTATGAAAAAAAATTTAATTGCCATCAAGCAATCCAAGCTTGTCCTGATGTTTCTAAAAAAGAAAATGAAGAAATAGAGGTTCTGAGTTCATCCAGATTCCAATTCCTAAGAGATGGCAGCAACAGGAACAATTTCATGATTTGATCCAGAATTTGAAGCGGTATGACAGCTTTTTGGGACCACTTCTGATGAAGGCAGAGAAATAATTTCAGAAAGCCAACTGATCCAGTGTCTAGCTGTGTGTCTGAGGTAAAATAGTCATATTTGATCATTTCCACATCTGCATTTGTTCTGCACCGGCACGTTTTCAACTACTGAGAGCACACTTGCTGCCACTTGTTGCAGTGGTCTGATTGGTCATATCTGCATGTGAAAAATAAAGCTTGACCCAAAAAAAGCTGCCGAGCCGCTGCTGTAGCTCGGCAGTGGTATCCTTTGCTCCAACTGGTTTTAACTTCGGTTGCTCACATTGTAATTGTGAATCATTTAACTTGCCCATTGTCTTCTCAACGTTAATGATTATTTTGTTTAAAATCCCTTTTTAACAGTAACCCTATGTGTTCTAAAGAAATGCTTGTCCAGTGTTTAAATGTGATACCAATGGATTTCTTTTTATTTTTTACAAGCATCCATATGTGGTGAGTTGGGAGTGAGACCTATTTCAGTATTGCCATCACTTGGCATGCCAAAAACATCAGTTAAACGAGGCGGCAGTGGCTTTTACAAAATTAGGGAATCAGTACAGACTGTCATCTCTGTTTAAAGATGTTCCAACATAAATGTCTCATTTGATGTCTGTGATGACTTTAACCCATTTTCAGGCAGACCTCTAATATAAGACATTAAGAGTAAAAGTTCACTCATTTCTAAACCCTGGTTAAAGGTGTAGGACCTGTTCTCCTGCAGTAGAAAAGGCTACACTTCTGAAGAGACTGAGTTTTAATTTGATACAATCAAATAGAGACATTTTGAAAACTGTAAAGGACTTTAAAATTCATTCTTTTGCAGTATAAACTGTTTATCTAGAAATATGGTAGAGGTGTGTTGTGTTTAAAGATGAGGTTTAAAAAAAGTAATCTATTACACTTCATCCCTTCCTGAGCACCAGCATGCATTGTCATATAATCAGTTAACTATATAAACCTATTATTACTACTACTCATTAGAAGGTTCGGTGTTCGATCGCTGGCTGCTTCAGTCTGCAGTTATCCTTGGGCAAGATGCTAACCCCAGGTTCTCTCCAACTCTTCCATTGGAGTGTGAATGTTAGATAGAAAGCACAGAAAAGGTGCTGGTATGAATGAGTAAATGAGGCAAGTTGTATGAGCTGCTTTGAATGCTATAAAAGAGTATAAAAGAGCTATTTAAGAACCATTTCATATATATATATAAAACACAAAACTGACAACAAAAAGTAAAGATCAAAACCAGCACAAAAAGAGTTTAAAGCAATGATTACTCCAATTCTGTTTATGGGTTCTTGGTTAGCGTTAGCACACTGTCTGTGCAGATGTTTGCCAAGAGCCAAAGTTAGCATAATGGACGCAGCTTGTCTTTTGTGCATATTGTATAATGTGCATAATGTCCATATCTCCACTCCATAAAAGCTGGAGGCCCCTCCACCATTTCCCTTCTCCTGGTATGCAGACATTTGAAGATCCTTTGCAACACAAGTAACAATTTTATTTTAACAGTGATGTAATTACTGAATTTTATAGAGCAATGTGTTACTTTAGCACATTACTAGAAAATGCAATTTGATCACAATAACACATTCCAAACATTGCTTGTGTTTATAAAAAAAACTTTCTGTTTATCCGAGACTGGTTTGCAGGGGCGTGTCCCCAGCCACCGCCTACAGGTTATCCAAGGCATTCCTGAACCTCTTCCTAGACATGCCAAGAACACCTCACCCAGGACACTAAGGAAGCAGATCCCCAAACCACCTCAACTGGCTCCTTTCATATGGAGAAGTGGCTCTACTCCGATTTCCTCTCAAATGACTGAACTCCTCATCCTATTTCTAATGGAGAGGCCAGCCACCCTTCAAAAAGAAGCTCATTTCTGCTGCTAGTATCCTCAGTCTCATTTTTTTTGTCACTACTCAAAGCTTGTGACCATAGCTCATGGTATGAGGAATTAGGTCAACTAGTAAATTGATAATTTGGCTTTTATGCCCTCACCATGAATTGCTACCTTACATGGAATATGGCCCCGTCCACCTGGAGAAGGTGGTATAGGGGATGACTGTCCAGGCCCCAGCTATCTGGAACAAAATTACACACCACAGAATTATTCTTTAGTGTTATTCTTTACTATTGTTGTCACTGTGGTGACCTCATAGCTGGTTATGGCCATGTTTCCAGGGAAAATGATTGGCAGATTTAAATGAACTGTTTGCTATAATAGGAAAGAGAAGCTCATTTGAACCTTGGATCCACTCCCCAAGCATTCTCCTTCTTCTCCTGGATTTATAAGTGCCTGCTTGCTCCACACGTCATGTCGTTCTCATTTCCGTGTCCTACCCTGCTGCCAGGACTGGCCTGTCGTGAAACCGCAGCCTTGGACCCAGCTGTTGCTTTATATCAATAAACATTTTTCATTCCCATTTAAGGTTGTGGTCCTTCTTATTGGAAGAGAAAGGATGGTACTTATCTTTATACTTCCTTTATTTAGATACATCTGGAAAGCTTTTTAGTAAACTTAAATAAATATGGAAACAATAAAAACTAAAAATCCACACGTTAATCTAATATTTTGTCAATCTTTTTTATTTATTTTCTTTATAGCATTCAGAAGGACACACACAGTTTCCTGTTATTGCACAGAAAATCTAGAAATAACGCTCTAAATACATTCTGCTTGGGAACATTGACGTCCAATATTTAGCCCTAGGGAGCTTCACTGGTGTCGGTCACTGTAGTGACAGAAGCTGCAGCCAGCATCTGGTTTTCTTTGCAAAGCATCGAGATTCAATGCAGGATTAGCCTTGCTGTCCGTGATAATGAAATCGGTGCAACAACCATCCAAAGATCAATACTAACACTTCATTTTTCAAATATTTTTGCACAGCCCTCTGTTGTAGAAGGGGATAATTATGGTTATTTAAACAGTAGACAAAGCTTGTGAATGCAGTATATTGTGTGAAACAATGACCACCGGTGCTGTCATTGTTTATTCACACAAACAAAAAGTCACCTGTCAGGAAAATATAACCATGAGTCATTTTAAATATTTGAACAAACCAAAGCTGCTGTTGAGGACTTTGACTTTATGTACAAAAGCGCTCGCGCACACACACACACACACACACACACACACACACACACACACACACACACACACACACACACACACACACACACACACACACACACACACACAGCTTAAACAAACAGACAGTGTGCCAATCCAGCCTGATTCCCTGCACACTCGCTTACATCAGTATAGAGCCATACTCACACCTACAGA